AGAGTTCCGCTCTTGTTGCCCAGGCTGGAGTGTAGTGGCATGGTCTCAGCTCACTGCAACCTCTGCCTCCTGGGTTCAAGTGACTCTCCTGCCTCAGCCTCCTGAGTAGCTGGGATTACAGAGGCCCACCACTATGCCCGTCTACTTTTTTGTATTTTTAGTAGAGACGGGGCTTCACCATGTCGGCTAGGCTGGTCTCAAACTCCTGACCTCAGACGATTCACCCACCTCAGCCTCCCAAAGTGCTGGGATTACAGGCGTGAGCCACTGCACCCGGCCAACTGGGTCTGAATCTGCTCTTGGACTAAGTCTTTAATTTCAGTGATACATTTTTAAATGTCTGAATGTTTTATTTGCTTCTTTTTCAGATATTCCTGTTTTTTTCTTCTTTAAAAGTAATTATTTTGTAGTCTTTATCTGATCTTATTATGTGTGTTATGTTGAGTGGGGGCAGTTTTGGATTGTGAAGTCAACTTTATCAGGGCTTGTTTTTCTGAGAATTCATTTTAGACTGGATTGGCGTGTCCCTGTGGCAGTTTTGTATTCGCTTCTGTGAAGTGCTCCAGAGGTTTCCCTAGGCTTGTGCTAGATTTTTTATATTAATTTCTCAGCAGCATTCAGGTAGTGTAAATTCAAACCTTATTACCCACTTGGGATTGTGATCATGAGAAGATTTCTCCTCTCCTACTCTCGTATACCCCTACAGCCCCATCTAGGACACAGATGCTTCAGTATCTTATCCCTTCTCTTATCTAGCCCTTTGTGGGTCTACTTTTATGTATGGATTTTGCCTCCAACTCTGCAAGCTGAAATTTAAATGCCTTGATTACTAAGACCACCAGTTTCTTTCTGCCGCAGGCTTAGCTGCAGGTTAGCTTACACTAGCTGAAGTGCTCTTTGTTTCCAGCTCCTGGAACATTCCTTTAGTTTGTACATTCATCTATGCATTAAAACATTTATGAATTATATTTTATTTAACATCTGGTGTTTTCAACATCATTTAACTAGGATTAAAGATGTTTGGGCCAGGCGCAGTGGCTCACGCCTGTAATCCCAACATTTGGGAGGCCGAGGCGGGTGGATCACCTGAGGTCAGGAGTTCAACACCAGCCTGACTAACATGGTGAAACTCATCTCTATCAAAAATACAAAAAAAATTAGCCAGGTGTGGTGGCGCATGCCTATAATCTCAGCTACTTGGGAGGCTGAGGCAGGAGAATTGCTTGAGCCTGGGAGGTGGAGGTTGCAGTGAACTGAGATTGCGCCACTACACTCCAGCCTGGGCAACAAGAGTAAAACTCTGTCTCAAAAAAAAAAAAAAAAAAAAAAATGCTTGAAGATAGAGTTTTCTGGAAGTAAACATACCAAAATGAGCAACTCTTATCTCATACAAACCAAGCATTATTTAAGTTTTGATGTACTGCTTTAGAATTGATTGACTCATTTTATGTTAATTCCTAGACCAAAGCATTTAAACCTTTGTATTCTTTCTTCAGCAAGGTGAATGTGGTGACATGGGAATATTTAAAATGCCAGTTGTCCATGGAGTGTCTCTGCTTGATTTTCTTTCAGCCAGCAAATACTGCAAAATGTTAGTTGAAGAAGAAGGATTGCAGCTTTTGTGTGATATCCAGGAGCACAGTGAGGCAACTCCCCAAGCACAGCAGATTGCAGCCTCCATTCTGAACGACTTCAGAATGCATTTCATGAATTATCAGAGGCCCACTCTGTGTCAAATGCCCTTCTGAACCTAAGGGACTAAGAGGTCTGCACTCTTCCTCAGTGTCCGGTGTTCTGCCCTGGCAGTAATTGCACATCAGCTGTCATTGGAGTTTGTGAGTTGGCTGTCTCATTGGCCTTTGATTGTTGATTTTATATATGTTACAAAAGGTTGGATTTGTATGATAGCCATAATCCCAAGTCAGGTTGGACTCATTCTGCAGCCTTTCAGCAGCAATTTTGAAGACTCAAACTGTGGACTCTGGGAAGACCTGGGAGCTTGTGTTGGAACAGCTATGCCAGTTACTTTTCTCTAGCCCTGGACAATTTTTTCACTTTGGGAGCTTGTCATGGGAGCAGGACCTGTTCCCCTAGAAGAGAAAAGAAAGACCTACAGGGAGACTTTGATATTTATATTAAATTTCCTTAGTTGTTATCATCATGTGAAGCTATGAGAAAAGCGTGGGAAGCATATGCTTGACAATGTGGTGTTTAGAAGGCAGAACCCCTGTTGGAGAGGGGGAAAAAGAATTTATTTATTTATTTATCTGTGGCCGGGTGTGGTGGCTCACGCCTGTAATCCCAGCACTTTGGGAGGCCTAGGCGGGTGGATTGTCTGACTTCAGGAGTTCAAGATCAGCCTTGCCAACATAGTGAAACTCCGTCTCTACCAAAAAATACAAAAACTAGCTGGGCGTGGTGGTGTGCACCTTTACTCCTAGCTACTTGGAGGCTGAGGTGGGAAGACTACTTGAGCCCAGGAGGCAGAGGTTGCAGTAAGCCGAGATTGCACCACTGCACTCCATCCTGGATGACAGAGTGAGACCTCATGTCAAAAGAATAGAGGGGTGGAGGAAAGAGAAATATATTCTTTTACTTTTTTGTGTGTGTGTGTGACGGAGTCTCACTGTGTCGCCCGGGCTGGAGTGCAGTGGTTCTATCTCGGCTCACTACAACCTCCGCCTCCCAGGTTCCAGCAATTTTCCTGCCTCAGCCTCCTGAGTAGCTGGGACTACAGGCACATGCCATCACGTCCAGCTAATTTTTACATTTTTTAGTAGAGACGGGGTTTCACCGTATTTGTCAGGCTGGTCTCGAACTCCTGACCTCATGATCTGCCCTTCTTGGCTTCCCCAAGTGCTGGGATTACAGGTGTGAGTCACTGCACCTGGCCTTTTTTTTTTTTTCCACAATTTTGGGTGTCTATCTTTGGCATGTTTCCTGTTATGTGAACATGACATGCTGTGTATGTGAGTGAGCTTGTAGGGCATGGTGGGACTTCCGCATTTGCCGGCAGTGTTTAGATGAAAGATTGTATGTAATGATAAATCTGAATCCCTCCATTTTATTTGGGTGGGACCATGACCAAAACTGGCAGAAGAGGAAAGGCCAGAAAGAGACTTTGCCAAAGAGTTCACCGAGTTTTCTTACCCAGCATGAAGCTTTTCTGAAACCAGCTTCAACTACAGTATAAACTGTATCAGAAGCTTGTTTCACAAGCCCTGCGGAGCTGCTTTGAGGAATAGAGTGTGAATTCCTTCCTCGCCTTATTGTTGACTGTTAATGAACATGTTTTGTCATTTATCTGTTTAAGTTTTTCAGAAAATAAAAGTAAGGTTTTGTTGATTAGCACATTTTAAGACTAGATTTTTGTGCTTTTAGCTGGCTTGGTTCAGATTCTTAACTAGAGTACCATGTACTCTAGTTCCTCAAATGAGGAAGAAGCTTATTCTTATTCTAAACCATGTTCCAAACTATTACCAGAGTCCAACCAGATAAGCAGAATTTGTAACCTTACTTCCTTCCATAGTCCTTAAACTGTACTGTATTTTTTCACACTCTTGCATGATTCCAAAAGGGTATCTTCCTGACCTGGGTTCCAGCACTTCAGAACATTGTTATCAGATGCTAGCTTATGCTGATGTGAGGATGTGTTATGGGAACCAGTGTGTTAAGTCCAATTCTGTACAAGACATCCCTTCAAGTTCTGTGTCATTCACAACAATCCTCATGGGTAGGTGAGTTTTATTTTCCTCACTTAACAGATGAGAAAAAGGAAGTTCAGTAAGGTGGTGAGTTTCCTGGGTTGTCATAGCTGGTGTGGTTTGTGCTGACTGTAAAGGCCTGGGCTCTCCTGTGTTACTCTTCCTTCCAGGATGCAAGCATAACCCTGGGAGCACATTTGTATTTTGCAGAAATCGGCAATGTTATTTACATTGTATCCATGCCCATGGTTTAGTGACTCTAGGCCAGGCCCAGGCTCAGCTTAGCCAGAGCTCAGATCCAGTTGGAGGATGACTGCAAGGCCATAGCTTAAGATGTAGCCTTGGTACCAGAGGAGGGAGGGGTACTGGGACCAGTATGGTTATGTATCAGCCTGCTCTTGGTTTTCTAAGTGTATCAACCTCTTCCTCACCTTTGCTCATGCTGTGTCAAACTTTCTCTTCTGTCCTTGAAATGTTCCTTAATCCTTCAGGCTTCAATTCCAGTGTTACTTGCCCATTTCCTGATCCTCCCTTCTTTCCATTAGAGTTAGTTGCCCCCTTCTTCTCAGTGCTCCTAACTGCTATGAAAGAGTCTCCTGGAGGCTAGGTGTAGTGGCACACACCTGTAATCCCAGCACTTTTGGAGGCCTAGGTGGGTGAATTGCTTGAGCCTAGTAGTTCAAGACCAGCCTGGGTGACATGGCGAAATCCTGTCTCTACAAAAAATACAAAAATTAGCTGGGCATGGTGGTATACGCCTATAGTCCCAGCTACTCTAGAGGCTGAGGTGGGAGGATCACTTGAGCCTGGGAAGTGGAGGCTTCAGTGAGCTGAGATCACACCACTGCGCTCCAGCCTGGATCCTGGGTGGCAGAGTGAGACCCTGTCTCAAAAAATAAAAAGATTTTTCTGCCACCCTATAGTTTACAAAGGGTTTCACAGTGATCATTTCATTTGGTTCTCACAAAAACACTGTAAGTTAACAATTAAAATGTATTTATTGACTATGAAGTGTTTTTATTTTGCTAAATCTTCACAAGTTTTGTTTTGTGGGTGAGGAAGCTGAGGCCCCGAGTGTTTAAACAATTTGTCCGAGGTTATACAGCAAGTAACTGGCAGAGACTGGGATCTGCAGTTTGACTCCTGACACATGTTCAACCAATGTCAGAGTTTATTTATTACCTCTGTTGTCCACAGGAAGAAACTAGGGGTACCTTAAAATCTTTTGACAGCTCTAGTGAGTGAGTGCCTGATAACTGAGAGAGGTCAGGGGCTGAGAGCCAATGAGACCAAGACTCAGAGAGATCTAATTTAATTCTTTATCATTCAAGTAGAGAGACAGGCATTTTCCAAAGCAAACCCAACCCTCGTGATTATTTCTAGCCAGGGTGAAGCTAAGGAAGGCAGCAGTAGGTGGTAGGATCAGCACCTTGGTTCTAGGCATCACGCCAGTCATTTGATCTCCATCATCATCCTTGTGAAGAAACGGAAGCCTGGAGAGGTGAAATAATGAAGGCAGTCCGGCCACAAATCTTCCTTCTGGATCCTGCTCTTCAGGGCATGCATCTCCCAAGCTGAAGGTTAAAGTGGGGGTCATTCACCAACAAATGTGGGGGGCCGCTTCTCCCTGAAGGCTGCCATGCCCTCTAGCCGGTCCCGGGTTGGAATGTTCTGCAACAAGGTACAAAATACTAGTTTTGGGGTAGCAGGGCCGGAGGCCCAGAAAGAGTTGCTTAAGCTTGTCCAGCCCATGACAAAGCCAGGGTCCGAGTGTTTCCATTGTCTCTGGACTCTGGTCTTGAGGCATGCAAAGGTGTAAGCCTCCGTGGCTGCTTTGTCTCCTGGGGAAGACAGGCCAGCCTTTGTATCTCTGCGCCCATCGGCATTAGCCTCCCTCGCACACTGCTTTCATGCTTTCATGCCTCCAGAGAGCTCACTGCCTTCTGCAGTGTCTGACGTGAGGCTGCTCAGTAGAGAAGAAAAATTCTTTACAGTAAGAAATCTGGCTTTGAATCCAGGTTCACACTAGTTTCTCCAAGTCCCAGCACCCCTTAGGAGTATTTTGGGTATCTGTTAACCTGGAGATTAGCATTTTTTACTCACCCATGAGTAATAGATTTAAGAGGTCAGTCCCAAGTGTACACCCTTACATTGAACACAGCTTGCAGGCTACAACCAAGCCCTTGACCTCCCAACTCCAGCCTGGCCTTTACAGTGGCAACTGATACAGAGGCAAAAGAAGTGCTTCTTCCTCTTAAGGACCTGTGTTCTGTGATTCTCGGCATTAAGTGGGCAGGATGTACCCCAATACATTAGATGGTTGAGGGAAAAGTCCCAGAGAGAAGCACTGTGGCTCTCCTCAAGCCACTCCAGGTGACTTATGCGGGAGGATGGATGCGGTCAGACTGTGTTGAGAGGAACCTTCTAAATTGGTCATGTATTATACAAAGTCCCTCCAGCCTGGCCCAGCCTATGTTAACAAGCAGGCATGGGCTACATACCTGGGCATAGCACATCCCTTCAATGGCCATCCCAGATGCAATGTCCACCTGCAAGAAAGAAGTGCTCCCTGGATTGGTCTGACCTTGTCCATCTTCACCCACACTGGAAGCCAGCCCACCCTGTTACCTACAGACATCTCTATGTGAGCAGAGATAGCTATGAGAAGGAATTCCCTTCCTAGAGAAGGAACACCATAACTATGACAAAACAGTGCTGGGAGAAACCAGACAGACTGAGACATTTTGCCAGAGGAGTTCAGTGTTCCTCCTTCCCATCTGGCTGCCTCACCACGCTTCCTGTCACCCCTGTTAATTCCTGGACCTTTATGACCTCGCCCCTGGCAATTGCTTCAGCCTCTAGGGCTCACTGACTGGCACTTAAAAGCCTCGTTCTAAGAGAAGTACCGTGTGCGTGAACTTAATTTTCACAGCAAGGGTTAGTGTCCCTATTCTACAGCTGAGAAACCTGAGGCATAGAAAGGTGAAATAGTTTGTTGAAGTTCACAACAGTATGTGGAAGAGCAGGTCTTTGAACCCAGACAGCCCAGTGCCAGTGCTTCGAACTTGCACACAGTCCTCTTCCCTCACTCTCATCTGGTCGAGCTGCTTGCTTATCCTCCTCTGTGCCTTTGCTCATACTTTTCCTCTGGAATTCTTATCCTTCCCACAGTCCAACTGTAGAAAATATTCTTTAACCCAGCACTGCCCAGTATGGTAGCCACTAGCCACATGTGGCTGTCAAGCACTTGAACTGTGATTAGTGGGAAGGAGAAATTGAGCATTTTGCTTTTAATTTAAAAGCCACACGTGGCTATCATAATGGACCACAAAGCTCTAACCTCTCTGGGGGTGTCAGCATGGTGCCATTATCCTAGATTTGTGTCTGTAGCTGCCCCCTCCCATCTTGGGGGCAGTGACCATGTTTAACTCATCTATCTGTATCCCAATTGCCAGCTTTGGTCTGGATTCAGTATGTGATGAGTGAATGGATGGGTGAGTTGAGGTGGGCAGATGGATCAGCCACACCCAAGGCATCACCCCAAGCCCTGCCCTGAGGCCACGTTACTGACTGCCAGCACAAACCTTGCCGCATGGACTGGGAGCCACACGGACCCGGGTTCTTCCTACTCACTTCCTCTGAGACCTTGGGCAAGTCATTTACCCCTTCTGAACCTCAATCTCCTCCTCTCTCCAGGGGAGAAAGATGAGGATAGAATGTAAACAATAATATCATCTGGCCAAACTTCCAGTTTGCAGATGGTTAAACTGGGGTAGAGAGTGAAGTCAAAGTCTGTTAGAAGAGTCCACTTCCTGAGTTCTTTCCAGCTGTGCTGTCAGTCTGTCTGAGCTCTGAAAGCACTGCGTCCCAGCCATGACCAACTTCAGTGGCCCCAAGTCCCAACCCAAAACGCTCTCACCTCCATTCCTCGGTCGATGGCTACTTTGCCCAGCCGCACAGCAATGGGGGCCTGGGGAAAAGCAAAGTCTTGGTTGAGGAGGGACTCAAGGCTGATAGTTGCAGGTCTGAGGTGCACAGCTTTGTTTTGAAGGAGGGAGGCAGATGTCCGGGTCTAGTTCCAGCCATTCTACTGGCACGTAGTTTCTTTAGCGTTAGTCCTATAACCTGTTAGCTGAGGTTCTTTTTCCATCATGAAATAAGCCAGCCTCTGACCCTGAACACCTGGGTTTCAGGTGTCCTTCCAACATGCACAACATAACTAGTTTATAAAGTGCTTTCCTCCCCACGGACTCATCTAATGGTGCTACCCACACTTCCAGCTGGTGTCATCACTGATCACCCATTTTACAGCTGGGAGATTGCAGTGCAGGGAAGTGAAGCACTTGGCTGTGTTTATCCAATCATTGGTGAGACTTGGATTGGACTCCCAGCCAGCTTTCCCACTTCCTCAACCTCATTTCAGCAAATGCCAGCCTCTGTGGTAAGCAGGTTGTACGCCAGCAGAGTGAAACAAAGTCAGGGTTAGGAGCTTGGGCTTTCCAGTCGACAGGGCTGAGCTGAAATCCTGATCTGCTGGGCGGTGCAGGGGTGGGGGTGGGCGCATTTTAATACAGCCACAGAGAAGCAACAGTGTCTGCTTTGTCACTGGCCTTGGTTCCACACCAGCCCTAGCACTCCAGTCTCAGCCCCACTTCCAGGCAAGGAGGAATTACTCCTTACATCATATTATTTGAAGTGTTTAAAACTTGCTCAGGAAAAGTCAATTTTTAAAGTATATTAGCATAAAAACTATAAATGAAAAAGCTAGCTACGTAAAAATGAAGAACTTCCAATTGGGAAAAACACCGTGAATGAAAGACAAAAGTAAAAAACTGGGAAAAACGGCTGGGTGCGGTGGCTCACGCCTGTAATCCCAACACTTTCGGAGGCCAAGGCGGGTGGATCACTTGAGGTCAGGAGTTTGAGACCAGCCTGGCCAACATGGCGAAACCCCATGTCTAATAAAAATACAAAAATTAGCCGGGTATAGTGGTGGGCCCCTGTAATCCCAGCTATATGGGAGGCTGAGGCGGGATGCTTAAACCCACCAGGCAGAGGCTGCAGTGAGCTGAGATCGGGCCACTGCACTTCAGCATGGGTGACAGAGTGAGACTCTGTCTAGAAAAAAAAAAAAAAACTGGGAAAAAGAATTATAATGCTTATGACAGATGAATGTCCTTGATTTACAAACATGTTAGTATAAAGTAACTTTTAAACCATTTACAAAAGCGTATGTAAAGGTCCTTCACCGGAAAAGAAATATGAACATGAAGGATGTCCAGCAGCTACATGCTTGAACGGCAAAACAGTGAGGTACTGTGCCCTTTCACCTCAGACCAGCAAATACTAAAATAGCAATAGGCCTACTACTGCCGAGACTGGGGAAACCAGTATTTACATACATTATTGATAGAAAAGTAAAAGAGTATGCCTCAGGAGAGCAATTTGGCAAAAACTGGAAAAATGCTGGTGTGCATGCTCTCTCAGAGCTGTGGCTCCTGTAGGCACTTTTATATTAACTCCACCTGTCTTGTGGTAGCAAAAAGATAGGAACAACAGAAAGGTTTAGTGTTGGGGTACTGGTTAAATGTACCCTAAAAAAGGGTAGGGAAGAATAGAAAACAAAACCTTTGTTTCGTTTTATTTATTTATTTTTTATTATTATTTTTTTGGAGACGGAGTCTCGCTCTGTCTCCCAGGCTGGAGTGCAGTGGCCGGATCTCAGCTCACTGCAAGCTCCGCCTCCCGGGTTTAGCTATTCTCCTGCCTCAGCCTCCCGAGTAGCTGGGACTACAGGCGCCCGCCACCTCGCCCGGCTAGTTTTTTGTATTTTTAGTAGAGACGGGGTTTCACCGTGTCAGCCAGGATGGTCTCGATCTCCTGACCTCGTGATCCGCCCGTCTCGGCCTCCCAAAGTGCTGGGATTACAGGCTTGAGCCACCGCGCCCGGCTGTTTCGTTTTATAAATGAAGGTTTATAAATGTTTTGTTATATAAAATGAAGGTTTTGTTTTCTATTCTTCCATGTGTGAATTCTTTACTATGCATATTTAAAATTTGTTAGAACCAGATTAGCCTCGAAAGGTATTTCTTGTCCTCTAAGTCATTAAAAGGAATTAATTTAAATATGTAAGCATATGTGCATAATACACGTCCTTCCATATGCAATGGAAATTTCTAGAAGAGTATGGAAGCTTAATAGTGATGATCTGGGGGGAGAGAGGGATTGGGGAATGAAGGGCTGTTTGGGTTGGCTTGTGACTGAAGGGTTACTGGGATGTGGGACTTCCACTTTTAAAACTGGGAAAGCCACAGGTAAACCAGGACTAGCTGGTCGTCTTGCCTTTGATTTTTACCTTATGCCCTTCTTACTCCTCTGTTCTTTTAGATTTGCTTGCCATATGAATGATTATTTAGGTAACTACCCAATAAAGTAATCTTAGCCAGGTACTGTGGCTCACGCCTGTAATCACAGGGCTCTGAGAGGCTGAGGCAGAGGATTGCTTGAGCCCAAAGAGTTTGAGACCAGCCTGGGCATCACCGTGAGATCCCATCTCTACAAAAAATAAAAAATTAGCTGGGCGTGGTGACTTGCACCTGTAGTCTCAGCTACTCAGGAGGCTTAGGTGGAAGGATCACTTGAGCCTGGGAGGTCAATGCTCCAGTGAGCTGTGATCATGCCACTGTGCTCCAGCCTGGGCAAAAAAAAAAAAAAAAAAAAAAAAAAAATACCCTTTAATTAAAGAAAGTTAAAAATAGTATGTACATATGTTTGTGAGAAAACAGCCAAATTCTAGCCAAGTCAGTAGCTTGCACCTGTAGTCCCAGCTATTCAGAGGCTGAGGTGGAAGGATGGCTCGAGCCCAGGGCTTCAAGGCTGCAGTGAGCTATGATCGTGCCACTGCACTCCAGCCTGGGCAACAGAGCAAGATCCTGTCTCTAAAAAGAAAGTTAAAAAACACAGCCGAATCCATTTCTCAAAGTGTAATGTGTATTTACTATTTAAGAAAGAAATCTGATGCAAACTGAGGATATTGACAGTTTTTTTCTGGGCTGAGAAAACTCTGGAACCATTTGCTACCCTATCGGAGTGATTTGTCCACTAGATGGTGGCCATCTACACTATCCCTAGCTCCCACCTATCTGGGAACCTTTATTCTGAGCACCCAGTAACATAGGTGGAAGTTGAAGTTTCGTTTTTCAGGTTGACCCAGAAGGTCTCAACTGTGGGATTACTCACGCCAGGACTTGTTTTTGGTAGACTGGTGTTTTGGTATACAAAGCTACTTTTAAGTACTGAAAATATCAGTAATTATATAGTACCATTATTTCAGTATATTTGGAAATCTGAATTGTTTTGTGATTGTTATTTAGTTAATGCAAAAAGACAAACCCTATAGTCTACAGGTCTAGGTGTGAAAGCTGCAATCAGCCACTCCCTTGAGTGACCCAGAGTTCTGTATTAGTTCAGAGACTTTCTAACCAAGTGTAATAGAAACCTGACAGCATTAATATTGTCTAGGCAACAGCATCAGACTCTTCATTTATATATGATGAAACTTAAAAAAAAAAAGACAAATGCTTTCAAAAAGCTATAGTCCCTGACCCCCAAATTAAAGAAGATCTGTTTTAAGAAGTATTAGGATTATTTACATTTAAGAGACAGGAAAGAAAGGATTTTTGTTCAAAATTATACTATTTTATTTTATTAACAATCTTGCTCTGTCAATTGGGCTGGAGTGCAGTGGTACGATCTCGGCTCACTGCAACCTTCACCTGCCGGACTCAAGTGATTCTCATGCCTCAGCCTCCTGAGTAGCTGTAATTACAGGCATGAGCCATCTTGCCCAGCTAAATTTTATAATTTTAGTAAAAACGGGGTTTTGCCATGTTGGCCAGGCTGGTCTCAAACTCCTGGCATCAAGTGACCCGCCTGTCTTGACCTCCTAAAGTGCTGGGATTACAGCAATGAGCCACTGTGCCCAGCTTCTTTTCTTTTTTAATACAAGTGAGGTCTCACTATGTTGCCCAGGCTGGTCTAGAACCCCTGGTCTCAAGCAATCCTCCTGCCTCAACCTCCCAAAGTGCTGGGATTATAGGCTTGAGCCACCATGCCAAGCCAAAATGGTTACTTTTGTATGATTAATTCAATATACATCAATATTAAAATGATGTATGGTTAACTTTGTTTTGTGATATGTTTGTAAATGTTTATATTTGAAATGCATTAAATATTTAGTTTCAGTTTTTAAAATTTTGTACATATTTTACTTTTTTTTTTTTTTTTAATTCTGAGACAGAGTCTCACTTTGTCGCCCAGGCTAGGGTGCAGTGGCACGATCTCAGCTCACTGTAACCTCCGCCTCCTGAGTTCAAGTGATTCTCCTGTCTCAGCCTCCCAAATAGCTGGGACTACAGGCACATGCCACCATGCCCGGCTAATTTTTGTATTTTTAGTAGAGACGGGGTTTCACCATGTTGGCCAGGCTGGTCTCGAACTCCTGACCTCAGGTGATCCACCTGCCTCAGCCTCCCAAAGTGTTGGGATTACAGGGTGAGCTACCACACCTAGCTTACTCTCTTAAAATACCTTTTTTATATTGCATTCTGTATTGTGCAAAATAAATGCCAAAATACCAGTGTTGTTTTTTTTCTAATACTGCAATCACTCTTTGTGATCTTGATGAGCAACTCACTGAACTTTTATGGGTTTTCTCAAATAAAATGGGGATAATCAACTCAACTGGATTGTTCTAAGAGTTGAGACACTGTATTAAGGCACCTAGCATTGTAGGCTAAGACAAATTTATTATAAATTAGTCTAACCTAGCTCCATTTCAGCCACTTTTAATCTTTTTTTTTTTTTTTTGAGACGGAGTCTCGCTCTGCCGCCCAGGCTGGAGTGCAGTGGCCGGATCTCAGCTCACTGCAAGCTCCGCCTCCCGGGTTTAGCTATTCTCCTGCCTCAGCCTCCCGAGTAGCTGGGACTACAGGCGCCGCCACCTCGCCCGGCTAGTTTTTTGTATTTTTAAAGTAGAGACGGGGTTTCACCGTGTCAGCCAGGATGGTCTCGATCTCCTGACCTCGTGATCCGCCCGTCTCGGCCTCCCAAAGTGCTGGGATTACAGGCTTGAGCCACCGCGCCCGGCCCACTTTTAATCTTTATGGAAATTTGGGATTTCCTCTACTCAACCCCCTCTATCCTGGGTCCCCTTAGAGTTGGGAGAAGCCAGCAGACCCTCACAGGGCCTTGGAGACCCCAGCCAGCCAGATCCCAGATATCCCTGCTGAGGGCTTTGGGCCCTCAGCTGGTAGGGTTGTGCCTGGGCAGAGCCTAACCTGCTCCCTAGTACCTTTTTGGGGTACCATGCTGAGAGGTTATTATTTGAGGATTTTTTAATTTTTTTCTTTTATTTCAATAGATTTTAGGGAACAGGTGGCTTTTGGTTACATGGATAAGTTCTTTAGTGGTATTTCTAAGATTTTGGTACACTGTACCCAATGTGTAGTCTTTTATCCCTCACCCCCTCCCATGCTATTTGAGGATTTCTTTAATGAAGGTGTTTTTTTGTTTTTTTTTTTTGCTTTTTGTTTGTTTTTAGCAATGGGATTTCACTTTGTTGGCCAGGCTGGAAGTGCAGTGGCATGATCAGCTTACACAGAGCTGCAGTAGCAGCTTTAAATTCATGGGTGCAAGCAATGCTTTTTCCCAAATAACTGGTATTACAGGCTCAAACTACCACATCTGGCTAAAAAATGAATCCTGGCCAGGCACGGTGGTTCATGCTTGTAATTCTAACACTTTGGGAGGCTGAGGCGGGAGGATCACTTGAGTCCAGGAGTTTAAAACTGCAGTGAGCCATGATTGCACCTCTGCACTCCAGCCTCGATGACAGAGTGAGACCCTGTCTCTTCAAAAAAAAAAAAAAAAGCTTAATACATGTCCAGCATGTTGTATTTCAAGAATATCTCCAGCAGGCAGTATGGTAGGAAATATGGGTTGGAAGTTCTGTATCCATTTTAGAATCTTGCTTTTCAGTCTTTGGGGTTTAAGGCTGTGCTATACAGTATAGTAGCCACAAGCCACATGTGGCTATTAGCATTTGAAATGTGGCTAGTGTGAATGAGGAACTACACTCATTTTCTCTAATTTAAATCATTTGACTAGTGGCTCCCATACTGGATAAGCACAAGTATAGACCATTTATCTCATCTCAGAATGGTCTACTGGACAGTGTTAAATTCGGAGGGCTTTCAAGCCCATTTGGTTCCAGTCCTTTGGAATTCCATTTACATTACATTTTAATTCAGAATTAAAATTTGACTTGTGTTTACTGGATCGTTAAACTCTGAAGAAGGCTAATCATATGTCTCTGGGTGAATGGAAGTGCAGCCCAAGGGGCACCCTGCCCGACACTTGCCTCCCCCATGACTCCGGCCCTCCCTGCGGTGCCGAGCTGTCACCACACCTGGGGCAGGATCTCCTGGGCCAGTGCTCGTGCCCGGTGGTAGGCGGCGTCACCCTCCTCGTTCTGGGCCACAGCGTGATTCACCAGCCCCAGTGCGTGGGCCTCTGTTCCACTAAGTCGTCGGCCCGTGAAGATGAGCTCCTTCGCCAGGGCCACCCCCAGACAGCGTGGCAGCCTCTGAGTCCCTCCTGCCAGGATGGAGGGGCAGGGTGTGTATCAGCATGGGAAGTGGGAATCTAGAGAAGGCCCAGGCTGGGACTCAGCCAAGACTTCTCAGAGGAGCAGAGTTCAGATAGGAGGGCAGAGCCCGGAACAGAGGGCAAAAAAGGAAAGCAGCGAAGGACCCTGATGGGGTGGATTTGGGCAGGTGCTGTAGTTCCAATTACCTGCCCCCGGGAGGAGCCCTCGCGTGGTCTCAATCAGTCCCATGATGGCCGAGGAAGCTGCTCAGATAGAACAGAGTGAGGCCTCCCTCCCCCATCCGGTCCCTCCGTGCTAATCCCTGGGACCGCACCTGCCTCTGCTCTCTACTCGCCCCTCTAGCCACTTCCCCCATGGTCTGGCCACAGCCAGGACTCTCCAGACTATGCCTTTGGAAGAGCCCTAGCCCAGAAGTCAGGAGCCCAGGCCCTTATCTCACCACACCCCTTTGGTGGAGTTGTGTCACCAAGTCCCTCACCCTTCCCAAGCCTCAAAGGTGGAAGAAAGATGGCTGGCCCTCTTCTGTCTGCTTCAGAGAGCTGCTAAAGATCACGCAAGGTACGACTCTGGGAGCAGAGAGTTCCCAGGAGTGCCCCATACCGATTTGTGGATTACTATTAATAGGTTCTCTGGCTTAGCCCTGGCCTGACCTAGAGTGTCAGTGACTCCTGCTCCTGCTACGGTTGTCTCTCCCAGCTTTGTCACAGCCTGAAATTGCCCTGACTGTTCCAGTCCGTGTCCTGAGTTTTTGCTTCCTTCCTTCAAGAAACTTGCCTTGACTGACGCACGCCCCCAGGTCTGTCTCCTTTTCTGAATTCCCTCAGCATGGGCCATGTGAACGTGGGCAGAAGGGAGTGGGTTTTACATGGACTCCCTCGTAGTCTTCCCCAAACCATGTGAGTCAATCGCCTGAACATGGGCATGTGAGAAGCAGAGTTGGGGCTAGACCAGCCTGGTATTTTGGTGCCTGGACACCTGGTCAGTTCCTTCTCTTTGATCTGCATTGTGTAGACAGAAGCGACTTTCATGCCTGGAGTTACACATTTTTACATGTCTCCTGGGGTGGCAGGAGAGAGCAGGTGGGGGGAGAAGAGAGGACATTCAGACTTTGCCTAACTGCATCCAAGAAGGCTGCTCCTAATCACCAGGTCAGTCACCTGAAAAAATGATCCAGTTATCTTCTTTGTCTCCTCCCACTCTTCAAACAAAGCTCAATTGCTCAGAACAAGTAATGCAAATTTGGCTGGTGCCAGTATTCCTGCCCAGGCACCTTTGTGATGAACTCAGCCATTGACAAACTATCCCTGGGGCTCACCTGTTTCTGAAACATGGCAGATAAGTCTGACTTGGACAGAATGGGAGGATTGGACATTGTTCTTTGACCTCCTTGGCTCCTAAGAGCAATTGCTCTGAGGTTGGTCAAATATTCCCAAAATGAAGGAAACAGGTTCTGACAGGTCACAGATACTACAGCAGTTAGTGGCTGTACCAGGAGGGGAAGCAGCTTCTGCCTGAGCACCCTCTGTGCCCTGCCTTGCCTTAGTTTTGCTTTTGGTTTGAAGCCAAGAACAGTGGCTGCCCGCAGAGTGCCCAGACTCACCCTGTTGCACTCACCCCCAACTCCCTAGCCCCACCCTCTGCCCCCAGTCCTGGCCCAGTACCTGCCACTCGGAGGTCACAGGCCAGGGCAAGCTCCAGGCCTCCGCCCAAGGCAAACCCATCCATAGCCGCAATGGTGGGTGCAGGGAAGGCTGCTGTGGAGAGGAAGAAGGGCTCAGCCTTCGAGGCCCTGGTGGGACCAGGACAGAGACTCGAGGCTGGGGAAGGGAAAGCTGGTTGGGACAGAGGCCTCAGTGGACCCAGGTCTGGGGACATTACATGGAGCCTCAGCCAGATTATCTTATTATTTATTTGTTTAATTTTTTTTTGGTACGGAGTCTTGCTCTGTCACCTAGGCTGGAGTGCAGTAGCGCGATCTTGGCTCACTGCAACCTCTGCCTCCCAGGTTCAAGCGATTCTCCTGCCTCAGTCTCCTGAGTAGCTGGGATTACAGAGGTGCGCCACCACACCCGGCTAATTTTGTTCGTTTGTTTTTAGTAGAGACAGGGTTTCATCATGTTGGCCAGGCTGGTCTTGAACTCCTGACCTCGTGATCCGCCAGCCTCGGCCTCCCAAAGTGCTGGGATTACAGGAGTGAGCCACTGTGCCTGGCCTCTTTTTTTTTTTTTTTTTGAGAGGAGTCTTGCTGTTGTCGCCCAGGCTGGAGTGCAGTGGCACAATCTCAGCTCACTGCGACCTCTGCTTCCCACAGCCAGGTTATCTTAGAAGCCAATTTTCCCTTTAGGGAAAGTTATGGAATCAGCCAGGGAACAGGAATGGGAGGATGGGCTGGATGATGCCTGTGTAGGCCTAATCTGCTGGCCTCCCTGGCACCTGCCTTTCTGTGTGCCAAGCCCTGTGCTGGGTGCTAGGAACTGGGAACACAGAATGAATCAGACATAGCCCTTGTTCCCATGGGGCTCAGTCTCATGGGGAAGACAAAGTGTATCAGGCATTAGTGACCCAGGATCATCAGTGCTCCAATAAAAGGAAGCTCGGAGGGTGGGTTGGGAAGGCTTCCTGGAGGAGGAGATACTCGGGGGCTTGAAGGATGAGTAAAAGTTCAAGTAACCAAGAAGGGGTATCCCAGGCAAAGGGAAGAGCAGTTGTCAAAGCCTGAAAGCATGCTTGGGGAAACTGACTTGCTTTGGAATGGCCAGGCTTGAACCCTGAGGGTAGACGCAAAAGCTGAAGAGCCAGAGCTCCTTCTCTGGGAGAATTGCCCTCTGTCATCCTCCCCCAAGCCCCTGGGAGAGGCATCTGTCTTCCCACAGAACTCCCAACAGAAAGAAGACTCTCCTTAGATGCTGGTGGGATGGCGGGGCTGTCATCGGCAGGGACCCCAGACCCCCTCCTCCACCCCACACCCAGATCCTCACCGATGTCATTCATCAGGCCCCGGAGTCGCTGGACAAACACCCCCACCTCTGCTTCACTCATCTGTTCCCGCTCCTTCAGGTCTGCACCTGCAGATGGCAAGGGGTTGGTACCAGCCCTCAGGAAAATGGCACTTTACGGAATCCCAGGCGGTTAAAGGATCCAGCAAAGAAGACCTGAGGACAGGCAGCCAGCGAGGAAGGAGAAACACCAGGAACCCGGGCAAGGAAGTCAAGGCAAAAGAGCAGCATCAAATGAGGGTGTGACAGCAGAAAGGTGAACTGGACTCCATCAAAACAGAAACCTTCTGTGCATCAGAGGACACTATCAACAGAATACAAAGACAACCCACAGAAATGGCTGGGTGCAGTGGCTCATGCTTGCAATCTTAGCACTTTGGGAGGCCAAGGCAGGTACATCACCTGAGGTCAGTAGTTCAAGACCAACATGGTGAAACCCTGTCTCCACTAAAAATACAAAAATCAGCCGGGCATGGTGGCAGACACCTATAATCCCAGCTACTCAGGTGGCAGTCAGGAGAATCACTTGAACCCAGGAGGTGAAGGCTGCAGTGAGCCAAGATCGCGCCAACTGCACTCCAGCCTGGGTGACCAGAGAGACTCCGTCTCAAAAAATAAAAAAGAAAAGACAACACACAGAATGGAAGAAAATATGTGTAAATCATGTATCTGATAAAGGATTAATATCTAGGATATATAAAGAACACCTCCAACTCAACAACAAAACAATCCAATTCAAAAATGGGCAAAGGGCCAGGCACAGTGGCTCACACCTGTAATCCCAGCACTTTGGGAGGCCGAGGTCTTGAATAGATATTTCTCCAGAGGAGATATACAGATGGTCAATAAGCACTTGAAAAGTTGCTCAATATCATCGTCATTAGAAAAATGCAAACCAAAACCACAATGAGATATTACCTCACATCTATTAGAATGGCTTTCAAAACAAACAAAAAGTTGGCATGGATGTGGAGACATGGAACCCTGGTGCATTGCTGGTGGGTTCCAAAAAGTTAAACAGAATTACCACACAATTCTAGTCCTAAGTATATACCCAAAAGAGTTGAAAGCAAGGACTCAAACAGATAGTCTCTCCTTATCCGTAGGGGACTGGTTCCGGGACTCCCTCAGATACCCAAATCCACAGATGCTTAAGCCCCTTGTATAAAATATTGTAGTATTTGCAATATGACCTATGCTCATGTATCCTCCTGTATACTCTAAGCCAGGGGTGTTCAATCTTTTGGCTTTCCTAGGCCACATTGCAAGAATTGTCTTGGGCTACACATAAAATACACTGATAACTGATGAGCTAAAAAAAAAAAAAAAACACCAAAAAAACTCATGTCTTAAGAAAGTTTACAAATTTTTTTTTTTTTTTGAGAAGGAGTCTCGCTTTGTCGCCCAGGCTGGAGTGCAGTGGCGCGATCTCGGCTCACTGCAAGCTCCGCCTCCTGGCTTCACGCCATTCTCCTGCCTCAGCCTCCCGAGTAGCTGGGATTACAGGCACGCACCACCACGCCCGGCTAATTTTTTGTATTTTTAGTAGAGATGGGGTTTCACTGTGTTAGCCAGGATGGTCTCGATCTCCTGACCTCGTGATCCGCCCGCCTCAGCCTCCCAAAGTGCTGGGAATACAGGCGTGAGCCACCGCGCCCGGTGAAAGTTTACAAATTTGTGTTGGGCCACATTAAAGGCCGTCTTGGGCCACATGTGGCCCAGAGGCCAAGGGTTGGACAAGCTTGCTCTAAATCATCTCTAATACAATGTAAATACTATGTAAACTGTTGTACTGTGTTGTTTTTATCTGTATTATTTTTTATTGTTGCATTGTTATTTTTGTTATTAACATCTTCAATCTGAGGTTGGCTGAGTCTGTGCGTGCGGAACCCGCAGATGTGGAGGGCTGACGGTACTTGTACACCAATGTTCTTGGGGACATTCTTCGTAGTGGCCAAAGGTGAAAACAACCCAAGTATCTATCAGCAGATGATTGGGTAAACAAAATGTGATATATACACAATAGAATGCTACTCATTACAATAGAATGTTACTCCGTAAAAAGGAATGGAGTTCTGACATTTGCCACAACTTGGAGGAACCTTGAGGACATGTTAAGTAAAATAAGCCAGACACCAAAAAACAAATACGATATGATTCTACTGGTATGAGGTATTTAGAATAGATAAATTCATAGAGACTAAGTCCCACAGAGGTTACCTGGGCTGGAGGGGAAGGGGGAAGGAGTCACTGTCTGAACAGGCTGAGTTTGTTTGGTATGATAAAGAACTTCTGGGAGTGGATAGCAGTGACATTGCACAATATTGTGAATGTACTTAATGCCACTCTGAATTGTACACTTAAAAACAGTTAAAATGGTCAATTTTGTGTTATTTATATTTCACCACAATTTCTTACAGAAGCGGGCACAGGACGCAGCGGCATGCAAGGGGCAAGCGCCTTGGCAGGAAGAGTGACCGTGGTGAGGTGCTCCAAGGCCAGATGCAGGGGTGAGCAGGAGTAGGGGGTAAATAGACTCTTCCAGTCCTAGGCTACAGGAAGTCAGAGCTGGGAGAGCCTTTGGAAGTCTTTGATCAGTTCCAGCCCTTCTGTGAGAGATGGGGAAACTGAGGCTCAGAGAGGGGCAGGAACTAGCCCAGGAATTCTAGAGCTAGTTGAGGCAGACCTGACCCTCATGCAGCCCCTTCCTTCTCTGTGCTTAGCTGGGAGAGTGACGAGCGAAGCTAATGGGGGAGAGCAGGTGTGACGTGACCTTCACAGAGGTCAGAGATGGAGCCAAAGGAAGAGGCCAGGGTAGGGTAAAGACCTCAGGCAGAGCAGCTGGGTCAAGCTGACTGGTCTGTGCACTTGTCAGCACAGACCCCAGGCTGGGCACCCTGACCCTGACAGCTCAGACCTAAGGGCTGAGCCACCTCCCCTTGAAATCTCCTGAGCATCATGCTACCCCTTTCCCATCCCTCCACAGTCCCCTCCTGATCCACAGTGGCCCCTGTCGGCCCCTCCCCAGCCACCCTCCAGAGTTTGTTCTCAGCTCAGCTCTACTGGCAGCTGACTTGCTTCTTGTGGGCCTGGTGTGCATTTTTCCTCCAATCTCTAAAATGGAAGTTCATGGTGCTCACCCAGTTGTGAGGACCAAATGACACAGGGACAGTGGAAGGCTTTGGTGACAGGGAATAAGATCCTATTGGTAGGCAAAGGGGCATAGAGTTCCATCTTGGCCACTGACCTTATGAGCATCTTTGGGCTCCATTTTCTCTCTCTCTTTTTTTTCCCCCAGGCTGGAGTGCAGTGGTGTGATCTCGGCTCACTGCAACCTCTGCCTCCCAGGTTCAAGTGATTCTCCTGCCTCAGCCTCCTGAGTAGCTGGGACTACAGGTGCCTGCCACCATACCCAGCTAATTTTTGTATTTTTTAGTAGAGAAGGGGTTTCACCATGTTGGCCAGGCTGGTCTCTAACTCGGGCCTCAAGTGATCCACCCGCCTCAGCCTCCCACAGTGCTGGGATTACAGACGTGAGCCACTGCAGCCGTCTTGGACTCCATTTTCTTATTTCCCCCGTGAAGAGTCAGAACAAAGCATGGCATAGCCGAAATAACTAGGATCTAAGGGTTAGAGGGGCCAAGTTCCAACTAAAGTCTATCCTACCTCTTACTAGCTATGTGATCCTAGGCAAGGGAATTTTCCTCCCCGAGTCTGCATTCACATCTGTCAGATGGCAACAATGAGTCCCATACTGGAGCTGATCTGAGGCTTCCCCCAACCCCTGGAGGCTGGTGGGCACCGTGCGGAGCCCGGATGGGGGCAGGAGAGAGAACCTACCTGCACAGAACACACCCTTCACTCCACTTCTGAAGAGCAGGACACGCACTTGCCGGTCCTCCCGCAGCTGGGCCAGAGTTTCCAGCAGCTACAGAGGACACCCAGTTAGATCCTCCCAGCCCATCCCCAGCCCATCCCCAGCCCACCCTGGCGCCCACCCTTTCTTACCTCACTGACGAAGACGTTCCCCAAGGCATTGCGGGCACGAGGTCTGTTCATCAGAATCTCAGTGATCCCTGTAAGAAGTCAGGGCAGCCATGGGCAAGTAGCTGGCTCTGCCTAATCCTGGGCTGTGGGCTGGGGACTGGAGGCAGGAGGCCTGGGCTCTGGGCAGCCTCTGCCCTAGATGACCAGAGTGACTTGGCACAAGTCACACTCAGGCAGGCCTCAATTTTCCCAACCATAAAATGGAGGGAAAACCCCTTGCTCTTTCTGCCTCAGAGAGAAAGTGGAAGGGCTTGTAAACCGTGGAGCAAAATGGGGAGGGGAAGAATGACCACCACAGTAGCCCTCGCCTGCTTCTGCCGTTGTTAGACAGACACACACACAAGCATACCTGCACCCATGCACCTTCTTTAATTTTACAACTCCCTCCCTCCATATTAATCTTTTCTTTTTTCTTTTTTTGGGGGGAGAGTTTTTCATTTTTTCTTTTTAGACTGGGTCTCAACTCTGTCACCCAGGCTGGAGTACGGTGGTGTTAACATGGCTCACTGCAGCCTCGACCTCCTGGGCTCAAGCAATTCTCTTCCCTCAATCCCTGAAATAGCTGGGACTATAAGCATGCGCCACTACCCCTGGCTAATTTTTGTGTTTTTTTTTTTGTAGAGACGAGGTTTCACCATCTCGCCCAGCCTGGTCTCAAACTCTTGAGCTCAAGTAATCTGCCTGCCTCGGCCTCCCAAAGTGCTGGGATTACAGGTGTGAGCTACCACGCGGCCTTAATCTTTTCTTCACAGCAGACTTCTTCCTCTAGATTGTGAGGAGTTATAAGGCCAATACTCTTAAAACCACCACCCAAATCAAGAAACAGAACTGTGCCGGCCACCTCAGGAACCTCACCACACACCCTGATTCAATCATAGCTCCCTCCTTCCCCCTGAATAAGTAACTCTTTGACTTACAGTAATCACCTCTGTATATTTCTTTATAATTTTTTTTTTGAGACAGAGTTTCGCTCTTGTTGCCCTGGCTCACCACAACCTCCGCCTCCTGGGTTCAAGTGATTCTCCTGCCTCAGCCTCCCGAGTAACTGGGATTACAGGCATGTGCCACCACGCCCGACTAATTTTGTATTTTTAGTAGAGACGGGGTTTCTCCATGTTGGTCAGGCTGGTCTCGAACTCCTGACTTCAGGTGATTCACCCACCTCGGTCTCCCAAAGTGGTGGGATTACAGGCGTGAGCCACCAGGCTTGGCCATTTCTTTATAATTTTATCACCCAGGTGTACATCCTTAGGTATCATAGTTTAGATTTGCTAATTTCTAAAATTGCCATGTGTCTTTTAAGTCCTGTTACAATCCTGACGTGCTCCCCACGACCCTGTCTTTCCCTCAGAGATTATCTGTGGAGGAGCCTGGTGCATTTCACCTATAGGGTTTCTCAAAGCCTGGGTTTTGCTAACCGCACAGTCATGGGGACAGATCAATATGATCCTCTGTCATAAGAAGTTAGCAACTAAATACAGAGGCTTGGTGTTCTGTCCTGTTTGACAAGACAGTAACCCTGGCCCCACCTGTGTAATGTACTTTCACCAGCAACAGCCAAGCTTCTTGGTAGTTTTCTATACTCATTTAGTCACTTTCTTACCTTCCATTCACTCAAACCTTCTCCAACCTAGGTTCCAGCACCATCACTCAGCAGACATTATTCTCATTAAAGTGATGAATATAGCCACATCACTAACCAAGGGACACGTTTCTCTCCTCGCCTCAACCTCGCGGTGGCAAAAACCTCTGCTGACAGTAACACACTCCGCTTGATCATTTTCTGCTTTGGCTTCTTAGAATAATATTTATTTATAAATAGATTATTTTCTTAGAGCAGTTTTAGGGTCACAGCAAAATGGAGTGGAAAATACAGTTCAATACAGTGCACATATATACTCCCTGTCCCTACACAGGCACAGCCCCTTCCGCAATCCCCATCTCCGACCAGAGGCACATGTGTTGCAACTGACGAACCTACATGGATGCACTGTCACCACCTGGGGGCCCTAGTGTACACTGGGGTTCGCTCTTGGCGGTGTACACTCTGTGGGTTTGGACAGATGCATAATGACACATACCCGCCTTGGCTTTGGCAGGCCCCCATTTTCCTTCCTTCTACCTTTCAGGTGATGCCTCTGCACTCCTTCACTGCTTGTCTTCTGCCCAATTATTTTAATTGCCTAAGTTCCTTAAGGCCAATCAGATTCTCTTCATTCGCTCATTTGTACATTTATATATTTGCCATGTGCTGGCCTCTACTGGACACCATGATTCCAGAGACCAGGACAGACTCAGGGCCTGTCCTCATGGAACCTACAGCCTGGGGGGGAGACAGACATTAAACAATTACTATTTGTGAGGAGAACTTGGAGAAAAAGGACAAACAAGTAAGGGGCATCCAGTGGGCAGAGGGGAGCCCTAGTATAGAAGGTCAGCAATGAGTTCTCAGAGGACAAAATGGCCTTTAAGCTGAGAGCTGACAGGAGAGTAGGAACTGGCCAGGCAAAAGATGTAAGAGTGCATGTGTGCATGTAAGTGTGCATGCACGGGTGCATATGTGAGTGTGTGCACGAGTGCCTGTGTGTGTGCATGCATATTGGCAAGGTGCAGGGAAGGGGGCAGTTCAGGAGAGGAGCCTGTTGCAGGCAGAGGGAGCGGCAGAGAAGAGGGCCCAGGTGTGGGACTGCAGGGTGCCTTCCAGAACTGGAGGAGTTCAGGCGGAGGGAGAGCAGGATAAGCTGAGGCAGGAGAGGCAGGAGGGACCTCCCTTCCACAGCTCACACACGCCTGCCTCCTGTACATCCAGGGCTCCCATGTGTGCCCAGGAGCCCAGAGCTCTCCTCTGCACCCTAGGCCTGAATAGCCAAATGCCTACTTGATATCTCAACTGATATGTCCTGCTCCATTGGTGAGCCAATGACCTTGCTATCAACCCAGAAGTTGATCCTGTCACCTTGCTCTTCCCTCACCTACAAAATGCACTGTCACTGAGGCCTGCTAATCCAACCTCTTGAAGAGATCTCAGGCCTCTCGGCTCACACCGCTTCTCACAGCCATTAACCTGGCACAGGCTCTTTCCTGCATCCCTCGGATCACCCACCTGACCCTCGAGTCCTCAGTCTTGCTGCCTACCAAGACACACATTCATTCCCACACTTGGGTCACAGTCATCTTTCTTACCCCAATCTGACCACGTCCCTCCCCTTTCCCCTTCTTTTCCTCAAAATAAAGTTCAACTTCTTAATATCAACCACAAGGCCCCCACAGTCTGGCTCTTGCACCCACTCTGGCCCCAATCCTTTGGCCTTCAAAGACCCCTTATTATTATCTCCCAGGGTCCTCGGCTTTGTCTGTGAACAAGCAGTGTTTATGAAGTAGGCATTCTCAGTGGAAGCTGATCGGAGACACGGAAGGGCCAGTGAAAGCTTCAGGGCTGTCGAGGGACAGGGTTTTCAGCCAGGAATTACAGAACTATGGCTAGGGGCAGAACTGTAACATTCAGGCAAACTGGACTTCCTTAGCCTCCCCAGAAACCTGCAAAGAGCTCTTAGAGCCCAGCAGGTCTGGAGGCTCCAGAGAGGTGTGCAGATGGCCATCCGGTCACTTCCAGCTCCAGGGCTCCAGGAGAGAAAATGGGGCAACTCTGGAGAAGAGACTGCAGTGGATACAGAGATGCCAGATCTGGAGGAGTCAAGGACCCTGACCCCCACAAACTTCAGAACAGTCTAGATCCAAGATCCCCAGAGTGGCCCTCGTGTTTACATCCCGAATAATCCCCTCCCTTGCATGTGGGTGGGACCTGTGAATTGCTTCTAAGCAATAGTGTACAGCAAAGGTTATACAAGGTCACTCCCGAGATTAGGTTAAGTTATCTGGCAAAGGTGAGGTGACTTCGGTAATTCGGTTATAGAATATAAAAGGCTCTGTCTTATTAGAGAAACTCATGGGCCTAAGGAGCGCGTCAAGTAGCAAAGGACTGCGGGCAACCTCTAGGAGCTGAGGGTGGCCCCCAGCCAACAATCAGCAAGAAAATAGGACTTCAGTCCAACAACCCCAGGAGGTGAATTCAGGTCTCAGCAACCTGAGGACCTTGGAAGCAGATCTTTCCCATCAAGCGTGGCCAACTCCCGACTGCAGCCCCGCCTGGCAAGACCTGAAGCAGAGAACTCAGCTGCTAAGTTGTGCCTGGACTTCTGACATACAGAAACTACAAAATGCTAAGTGTGTGTGTGACTTTGAGCAACAAAGTTTGTGATCATTTGTTAGGTAGTAATAGAAAGCTGATAAAGGCATGGTGTCCAGGGACTGGCAGACCCTCCTCTCTCTGCTTTCCTGTTCTTTCCTTCCATTCTCTCTGGCTGACTCTTATCTTTCAGCTTCATCTCCTGTCTCCACCTACATCTCCCTCGCGCAATACTGACTGCCAAATCTTACAGCCCTCAGCTCAAGCCACAAGTCAGCCACACCCCCGCCCCATGGCCTTGGGCAAACCACTTCACCCTTCTGGACTTCAATTTCCTGATCTGTAAGAGAAATAATAAAAAGGTTATTGTTAGGATTAAAAGAGATAATGCACATAAGTATCTTGCCAGAGTTTGTGTAAAACGCCCAGATACTAGGGCAAGTCTCGGACCTAATACAGTGTCTGAACTTTAAGCTGGGAGCCCCCCAGGAGCCAGGCAGGGTGTCTTTGGCTGCCAACATTCAATTGTGCAACATTCAATTTGCACTACCACATGCCAGGTCCCGGAGAAATAGAGAGGAATCAGCCAAGGTCCTGTGTTCTTAGCCTAGCCCCGATGCTGGGAACATTGCCCTTCTAGCCCCAGTAGCGGGGATGGGGCTATGCTGCACCCTTCCCACTCTTACTGAACCTACCATAACACTGAGCAGCTGACCTAGGATCACTTCTGTCCAGATGGCTTGGGTCACAGGCTAGGTGGTGTGGGTAGGAGTCAACAGAAACCACTGGAAGGGTTGGGCGTGGTGGCTCACACCTGTAATCCCAACACTTTGGGAGGCTGAGGAGGGTGGATCACCTGAGGTCAGGAGTTTAAGACCAGTCTGACAAACATGGTGAAACCCCATCTTTGCTAAAAAGACAAAAATTAGCCAGGCATGGTGGCACATCCCTATAATCCTAGGTACTTGGGAGGCTGGGGCACGAGAATCGCTTGAACCCAGGAGGCGGAGGCTGCAGTGGGCCGAGATCACGCTACCGCACTCCAGCCTGGGCAACAGAACAAGACCATCTCAAAGAAAAAAAAAAAAAGGAAACCACTGGAGGGTAGTATGGAGAACAACTGGTTTAACAACCAACCCTTTACTATACAGAAGGGGAAACTGACGTCCGGAAACAAAGAGGATTTGCTCAAATAACAGCTGGACCCAGCTGGCAATCCTCACTCTCAAAGAGCCAACAGCCTAGGAGGGAGACAAGTTCAGAAACACAAAGCATAAAAGGACAGTGTCAGGGAGAGGGCAGCAGAGCAGGGAGTTCCAAAAAGATTTCCACAGGCAGAAAAGAAGGGAGAGGAGCCAAGTCAGGGCACAGCTAGAGCAAAACACAGAGGTAACGCACCTTCAAATGAGCCCATGGGTAGAGGAGGGAGGATGGAAAGGTCAGCTTGTGGTGGAGAAACCTTGAGTGCCCAGCCAAGGAGTTGAAGGAGAGCCATTAATTACAGTCATGCACAGCATTTTTTAGTTGGTCAGCTACAGACCACGTATAAGACATATAAGTCCCATCAGATTATAACGGAGCTGAAAAATTCCTATTGCCTGGTGCCACTGTAGCATCATAGCGCAATGCAACACGCAAATGCTGGTGGTGAGGCTGATGTAAACTAGCCTGCGTTACCAGTTGTACAAAAGCACAGCACATACAATTAGGCCCAGAACATAATACTTGATGATAATAATAAATGACTATGTTTTGGGTTTATATAGTTACAATATTATTTTTTACCATTATTTTAGAGTGTACTCCTACTTTTTATTTTTAATTTTTTTGAGACAGGGTCTTACTCTATTGCCCAGGCTGGAGTGCAGTAACATGATCATGGCTCACTCATGGGTCACTTTGGGCTCACTTGCAAATATCAGGAATCCTTGATATCGGACAGCCTTGACCTCCCCAGCTCAAGCCATCCTCCCACCTCAGCCTCCTGAGTAGCGGGGCTACAGGTATGCACAACCATGCCTGGATAATTTTTGTATTTTTTGTAGAGAAGGGGTTTCACCATGTTTCCCAGGCTGGTCTCAAACTCCTGGGCTCAAGCAATCTGCCCGCCTTACTTACCCTCTCAAAGTGCTGGGATTACAAGAGTGAGCCAAGTGAGCCACTGTACCAGGCCTGGCTGAGTGTACTCCTACTTATTAAAAAAAAAAAAAAAAAAAAGTTCAGTGTAACACAGCCTCAGGCAGGTCCTTCAGTAGGTGTTCCTGATTATTATCATAGGAGATGACAGCTCCATGCATGTTATCGCCCCTGAAGACCTTCCAGTGGGACAAGATATGGAGGCGGAAGACAGTGATAGGCCTAGGCTTGTGTGTGTGCTTATGTTTTTGTTTTTAACAAAAAAAAGTTTAAGAATTAAAACTTTAAAAAGCTTATAAAATAAGGATCTGAAGAAAGAAAAATTTTTTTTGTACAGCTGTACAATGTGTGTTTTAAGCAAAATGTTACTACAAAAGAGTCAAAAAGTTGAAAAAAATTAAGTTTATAAAGTAAAAACAGAGTAAGCTAAGGTTAATTTATTATTGAAGAAAGAAACATTTGTAAAGTAAATTTACTGTAGCCTAGGTGTACAGTGTTATAGAGTTTACAGTAGTGTACAGTAATGTCCTAGGCCAGGTGTCCCCAACCCCCAGGGCTGTGGACCCATCCCAGTCTGTGGCCTGCTAGGAACTGGGCCACACAACAGGAGGTGAGCAGCTTCATCTGTGTTTACAGCAGCTCCCCATGGCTTGAATTACCGCCTGAGTTCCACCTCCTATCAGATCAGTGGTGGCATCAGAGTCTCATAGGAGTATGAACCCTATTGTGAACTGCGCATGTGAGGTATCTAGGTTGTTGCACGCTCCTTATGAGAATCTAATGCCTGATGATCTGAGGTGGAACAGTTTCATCCCCAAACCATCTGTCCCCCTGCAAGTCCGTGTGTTTTCCATGAAAACAGTCCCTGGTGCCAAACCAGTCCCTGCTGTCCTAGGCCTTCACATTCACTCACCGACTCACCCAGGGCAGCTTCTAGTCCTGCAAGTTCCATTATGGTAACTGCCCAATACAGGTGTACTATTTAAATAATCTTTTCGACTGTATTTTTACTGTGCCTTTTCTATGTTCAGATAAATAAATACTTACCATTGTGTTACAGCTGCCTACAGTATTCAGCCCAGTCCCATGCTGTCCAGGTTTGTATTCTAGGAGCAACAGGCTATACGCCACGTAGCCTCGGTGTGCAGTAGGCTATCCCATCTAGGATTGTGTAGGTACACTCTGTGATGCTCCCACAATGACCACATCACCTAATGATGCATTTCTCAGAATGGAGCCCCGTTGTTAAGCAATACATGACTGTATGAGAAATAAAGCCGCTAAGAACAGTGAAGAGTGGTTCACCACCCAACCTCAAGTTCAAGGGCAGCAGGTAAAATGTAACAGTACTCTGGTGCCATCAGCCCCAGTGGAAGGCAGAACCCGCAGCTTCTAATGTGAACATCAAATGACCCCAACTCATTCCCTGGGAGGGCTCGGTGTGTGATCTCGTCCCCATGCCTCCTCCGCACTGTCATCTTGGTTTCCGTCTCTCTTTCTCTCACTGACTTTTCCTGCCCTTCGTGCTCTCTGGCAGGGGCAGAGGCTTAATCTGCTGATCCCTGTCATTCTGTTTTGGATAAAATGATTCCCGACATTTGCAAGTGAGCCTAAAGGTCTTTAACCCATGATACTTTTGTATTTACAGATGTACAAGTCTGTATTTTGAGTCACCGAATTACTAGAAGAGCCAGTGATTACCTAATGGTTGAGAACACAGGCTTTGAAATCAGACCTGATTCAAATAACTTAACCTTCTGTGTCTCAGTTTTTAAATCTGTAAGTGGGGAGAATAATCTTGACTAATCTTGACTGTTTTAAGAGCTGTTGCCAGTTGGGTAGTGAACTAAGCATGAGATTGGGGGTATAAGGTTCAGCAATCCCACCTGGTCAAGGAAATTCTCATCAAGTGGGACACTAGGTGGCCTGTCCGTTTCCACTGAAGGTAGTAGATGCACACTTGGGAACAGTGGGCAACAGCAGGGGGCAAGGAACTGGATTTTATGGCAAAGCCCCCCTTCAAACTTGGTGTTAAGCCAGTAAAAAGGAAGCAATACAACGAAATGTACAGTACAATGCCATCTGTGTATCAAACGCAGGGAACAGGGGATGAGATCGGGGGAGGAGACCCAAGACAGGAGAAGCAAATGAGGAGCGTTTTCAGCATCACTGAATGCTCCACAAGTCCAAACAACAAAAACGCAACAGGCGATCGGAGGCGTTTTCTGCCAGTGACCCGCGAACTTTGACCGCCCCCTCCCCATACTACTTTGGATCTTGGCCAAAAGACGGAGAAGCAGCAAACTTTTCCCTGGAGCCAGATGACGCAAAAGTTCGCTAGCGGCCCAGGGCAGGGGCGCAGCTGGAGAAGCACCCTCCTCACTCCGCCCCGCTGCCGCACTGGGCTCCCAGCTGTCGCCGCACGCCTCCCGGGATTGGCTCCGCTGCTTCCACCCCCGAACCGGGCCAGGACCCTTGGCGGGGGAGGGGGACGCGCACTTGACAGCTCCTGGCCTGGGGGCCGCTGGACCCAGTCCTATCTGTGCGGACCCCGCTCCCCTTCCACGCAGTCGGAAGACCCCAAAGGACCTTTGAGGAGACCAAGGTTGCCAGAGGCCTCCCGCCCCCAGCTACAGTCCGGAGCCCCTAAGGCGGCCGCCCACCTCTCGGGCCTGGAGCGGCTCGGGGCGCCTAGAACTGGGATGGAGGGACTGGAGATCGAATCCTTCAACGCACTGAGCAGCCCGCCTGCCCGCCCCCGGCTGCCTCCGGGCCGGCCTCGTTCCAGTCGCGTCATGGGCGCGCCCCGGGACGGCGCATTTACCTTGGTCCGGACCCGCCAGGGCGCGCACTTGGATCTCGGAGCCCCCGGCCGCACCATCGGAAGCGCAGCAGCGGGCCCGAAGGGGCCTCCAGGGGCGCAGGAGGCACAGGACGCGCAGCATCGGGGCGCAGGCTGGGAAAGAAGGCGCTTCTTGGGTCCTGCACCGTCTCGGCTCCCACTGAGAGCTCGAAGTTCCGGCGACGGGCGAAGCCTTCGTCAATTGCTCCACCTATGGGCCAAGGGGCTGTTGCCTCCGTCCGCACCTCTTGGGGACAGGGAGACTTGAGCAGAGGAGGTGGGGGGAAGCCCAGCTCCTCCATGTGATTTGGGGTAACCCTGTCAATCTCCCAGCGTCAGTGTTTTAATCTTGTAAAATGGGGATAATAGTGACTACCCCGTGGTGGTGTGAAGATTAAATGGGGTGTGAACCTTGCTTGCACATGTGCTCAATTTCATTTTTTAAATGAAATGACATTTAATGAGTCCCTTGAGCGTGTCTGCACTCGCGAACTTCACTGCCTCACCTCCCGTTTGCGCCTCATTTTGTTTTTGTTTTTGAGACGGAGTCTCGCTGTGTCGGCCAGGCTGGAGTGCAGTGGCTTGATCTTGGCTCACTGCAACCTCCGCCTCCAGGTTCAAGCGATTCTCCTGCCTCAGCCTCCCGAGGAGCTGGGATTACAAGCGCGTACCACCAGGCCCAGCTAATTTTTTCTGTATTTTTAGTAGAGGCAGGGTTTCACCATGTTGGCCAGGCTGGTCTCAAACTCCTGACCCCAAATGATCTGCCCTTCTCGGCCTCCCAAAGTGCTGGGATTACAGGGATGAGCCACTGTGCCAGGCCTGTTGCCTCAAATTTAATGGAAGTAAATTTAACTTGAGTCCCAATTTAGTGCTCAATAAGTTGGCTCACAAAAATATTTGTGAATGTGAATCTCTGGCTTCTAACCCCATTGTCCACCCAAACTGCCTTTGCAGAGGTCAGCAGTAGCCTTGTTTAGTTCATTCAGGGTAGATCAATAAAAGTATTCAGTGCATACTCTGTGTTCCCCAATCTCCTACTTGGGAGACATGTCAAAGATCCCAAAGCCACTAACAATCCTGGCCTGTTGGTTAAAAACATCAAATGGTGAAAGCATTAAGGTTCATTTTATTCAATCTTACTAAAGATTGTAAACCAGGAGGAGTCTTGTAGAGAGTTTCGATCAGACTGCTCCAAAGCCGTGTTTCAGCCCACAGCTTATATACAGGTTGTGGAGGTTTTTCATGTACTCAGAAATTGCATCAAATGTACTCAGAAGTTACATTAGAGAAAAATCTTTTCAAAGTTTTGGTCTGAGAGTACAGCTGATAATAGAGTACAGAGGAATAATCATTAATCTTGTCAAATGTTATTTTATGTACAGGAAAAGGCAAGGGTTAGGATCATTGAATTTATCTTTTCTTGCTGTTTTGTTTTGTTTTAAGAGACAGGGTCTCACTCTGTCACCCAGGCTAGTGGGTAGATAGGATAGCACAGTCGCACTATCATGGCTCATTGCAGCCTTGACTCCCTGGGCTCAAGCAATCCTTCTGCCTCAGTCTCCCAAAGTGCTGGGATTATAGTTGTGAACCACTGCACCCAGCCCTATTATTTAATTTAGCATAACCTTATGATTTCAAATTACATGAAAGTTTATATATAGACATTTGTGGTGCTCTGTTTACTTTTACTTAATTTTAAAAATTTACCTAGATTATTTATAACAACTGAGATATTAGGCAAAACTAGTCATCATTTCAAGTTGTTTTCTGGTTAACCACTTTTATAGCCTGTTAATATCAGGTTTTTACTTAAGTAAGAATCTTAAAGTTGAATACTTGGGTATTTTGCCAATAACTCAGAAGATTCAGCTGTTTTCATTAAACTAACAATATTAAATTAGACTTGATTATAAAAAAATCACACAAACAAAAATTATTATATTTTGGGCTGGATTTATAGTTTTATAAACTTTGTGCCAAACTCTGACACCTTAAAATATCTAGCAAAGGCAAATATAAAACCGTTAAACCACTATACCCAGGCAAAAATGTATGCTGACAATTCTGAAGACATTTCAATTCTGAAACGTCTTCATTTTATTTTATCAACAATTTAAAATCCAGCTTATTTATTAAAGATTTACTTAAGTAACAAGAGCGTGGAAAATATTTGGATTTACTAATTTAGGAACACTTATTTATTTGCAAGTCAATTTGGTGGTACCAAGTAGACAAAATAGATACTGATATGTACATATATGTAAACACATCTAGATACATACACACATACAAATAAAGAGCTTATATCTTTCACTTAAGAATTTTAGTCATGAGATAGTGATACAAACTCACTGGTTTATAAAAGACAGTTGGATCCAAATTGTTTTTTTAAATAAAATTGGGACTTGATTTATGGCTAAACTTTATTTGCTCCAATAGGTCATCTAATGAGGGACCAAATTTTGAAAGCTATAAGGTCTTTATTTGTATGTATCTAGATTTGTTTACATATATGAACATATCAGAATCTATTGTGTCTTCTTGGTACCACCAAATTAATTGACTTAAAAATAAATGAGTGTTTGTGAATTAGTAAGCCCACATATTTTCACTGGAGTTTGATTTTAAAAACCTCTTTTGCCCCTTCTTTTCCCTTCAGTTTCAAATGAGTTTATGGTTAAATTTTGAGTGTTTACATTTTAACTAGAACCAGCTTAATTGCATAAGAAAAACAAAATCTCCATGTAGCCTGGGATTAGTAATACCATAAACAGTGAGTTTTATCTCAACATCAGTAGAAAAGTCAACAGATTAAAAGTAGTCAGGGAAAAATATAGTGAGATAGAGAACTTAGAAGACTCCACATTTTAACTCTGTAGTTGCAGGTTGCTGATTTGAACTCTGAATTTTCCTTGATGTAAGTCGCCCATCAGTTTAAAAATGTACACAAGAATGGGCCATAATATGCAGCCAGCTGGAGTTCCAGAAAATATCTTGGCATGTCTTTGAACTTTCCTGGGCTAATTTAATCTAAAGCCTTAAGTAAAGTAGGAATTTCTCCAGAGTTTGTTTGTTTAACATGAAAGCCACCAGAGCATCAGAAGGTGGCTGATTAGAGACCGTTCCCTTAGAACATGGATTACCCACTGCACTGACCCAATGAAGGCATCCCTTCCAGTGCCCTTAAATGTGAACATGCTTACAAAATCAGAAACATGAGCATACCCCACAAAGCATGAGCACACCCTGCAAAAATGTGAGTGTACCTCACAAAGTGTGAGCATTTCCTGCAGGGCCCTAGATAGGGTCAGGCTCTCTGAAGAAAACAAAGTCTCCAAGACTTTCACCTAAAAATCAGAGGTCTTGGATCAGAGAGGGCTTACCTGATTTCTCCCCAGTGTACATGGGATGACAACTGAGCTCAAGGGGCTTTTGCAGGTGCTGATGCATTCGTCCAGATGATGCTTGGAAGGAGCTAGGGGCCACTTTGTATCCCATCTTCCCTGCCAAGAAATGTTAACAAAAGATCATGAGATCTGTGGAGGAAAAAGAGAGAAAGCTTCATTTTCTTTCTTTCTTTTCTTTTTTCTTTTTTTTTTTTGAGATGGATTCTCACTCTGTCATCCGGACTGGAGTTCAGTGGCGCAATCTTGGCTCACTGCAACCTCCGCCTCCCAGGTTCAAGTGATTCTCCTGCCTCTGCCTCCCAAATAGCTGGGACTACAGGCGTGCGTCACCACGCCCAGCTAATTTTTGTATTTTTAGTAGAGGCGGGGTTTCACCATGTTGGCCAGGATGGTCTCGATCTCTTGACCTTGTGATCCACCTGCCTTGGCCTCCCAAAGTGCTGGGATTACAGGCATGAGCCACTGCGCCCAGCATTTTTTTTTTTTTTTTTGAGACAGTCTCGTTTTGTTGCCCAGGCTGGAGTGCAGTGGCACAATCTTGGCTTGCTGCACCTTCCGTCTCCTGGTTTCAAGTGATTCTCCTGCCTCAGCCTCCTGAGTAGCTAGGAATACAGGCATACACCACCATGCCTGGCTAAGTTTTGTATTTTTAGTAGAGACGGGGTTTCACCATGTTGGCCAGGCTGGTCTTAAACTCTTGACCTGAGGTGATCCGCTGACCTTGGCCTTCCAAAGTGCTGGAATTACAGGTGTGAGCCACTGCACCCGGACTATTTTCTTAAAAAACAAAAACAATCTGCAGATTGGGGAGACACAGCCTCTGGTGTAAATTGCACCACATTCTGGAGAAGAGGGGAACTGGCCTAAACAGGAAAAGTTTCCTCTGTAGCTCTCAAATAGGTCTATGTATGCAAATAAAGGATTTAAATTTCAGTCCCCATTGGCTGAAAATAACTGAGTCCTGATTGGGTAGTTTCTTTGTTTCCTTCTTCTACTTTCCTTTTAGGCTCCAGGGGTACCTGAGCAGGTTTGTTGTTGTTACATGGGTAAACTGTGTGTTGCTGAGGCTTGGTATACCAAGATCCCATCACCCAGGTAGTAAGCATAGTACCTTTATAGGTAGCCTTCCAACCTACGCTCCCTTCCCATCTTCCCCACTCAAGCAGTCCCCAGTGTCTATTGTTCCCACCTTTGTGTCCATGTGTATTTAATGTTTAGCTCCCACTTATAAATGAGAGCATGCGGTATTTGGTTCTGTTTCTGAGCTAGTTTGCTCACAATAATGGCCTCCAGCTGCATCCATATTACTGCAAAAGACATTGAGTTCATTCTTTTTTATAGCAGTATAGTGTTCCATCGTGTATATATGTATCACATTTTCTTTATATAGTCCACCATTTTTTTTTTTTGAGAAGGAGTCTGGCTCTGTGGCCCAGGCTGGAGTGCGGTGGCCGGATCTCAGCTCACTGCAAGCTCCGCCTTCCGGGTTTACGCCATTCTCCTGCCTCAGCCTCCCGAGTAGCTGGGAACACAGACGCCCGCCACCTCGCCCGGCTAGTTTTTTGTATTTTTTAGTAGAGACGGGGTTTCACCGTGTTAGCCAGGATGGTCTCGATCTCCTGACCTCGTGATCCGCCCGTCTCGGCCTCCCAAAGTGCTGGGATTACAGGCTTCAGCCACCGTGCCCGGCCTATAGTCCACCATTGATGGGCATCTTGGTTGATTCCATGTTTTACTATTGTGACTAGTATGGCAATGAACATATGAATGCATGTGTATTTTTGGTAGAATGATTTATTTTCCTTTGGGTATATACTGAGTACTGGGATTACTTACAATGGAATGGTAGTTCTGTTTTAAGGTTTTTTTGTTTTGTTTTGTTGTTGTTGTTGTTGTTTTTCTTTTTGAGACAGGGTCTCATGGCTGGAGTGCAGTGGTACAATCTTGGCTCACTGAAACCTGTGCCTCCCAGGCTCAAATGATCCTCCCACCTCAGCCTCCCGAGTAGCTGGGACCACAGGCATGCACTATCACACCCGGTTAATTTAAAAAAATATATTTTTCTGGAGAGATGGGGTTTCACCATGTTGCCCAGGCTGGTCTCAAACTCCTGAGCTCAAGCGATCTGCCCATCTCTGCCTTCCAACGTGCTGGGGTTACAGGTGTGAGCCACTGTGCCCAGCCTTAAATTATCTGAGAAATCTCCACGCCACTTTCCACAGTGGCTGAACTAATTTATATTCCCACCACAGTCTATAAGTGTTCTCTTTTCTCCACAACTTTGTTAGCATCTGTTGCTTTTTGACTTAAACAAAAAAATTTAATTTTGGCTGGGCATGGTGGCTCATGCCTGTATTCCTAGCACTTTGGGAGGCTGAGGCAGGCAGATCACCTGAGGCCAGGAGCTCGAGACCAGGAGCTCGAGACCGGCCTGGCCAATGTGGACAAACCCCATCTCTATTAAAAATACAAAAATCAGCTGAGCACGGTGCATGCCTGTAATCCCAGCTACTTGGGAGGCTGAGGCAGGAGAATCACTAGAGCCTGGAAGCCAAGATCACACCATTGCACTCCAGCCTGGATGACAGAGAGAAACTCTGTCTCAAAAAAATATGTGTCAAAAAATTTAATTGATTTTTTTTTCTTTTCTTGTCCCCTTTTCACTTATACAATGTTTTTGACTTTTTAGTAATAGCCATTCTGACTGGTGTGAGATGTGGTTTTGCATTTATCTAATGATTAGTGATTTTGAGCATTTTTTCATATATTTGTCGGCTCTCTATATGTCTTCTTTTGAGAAGTGTCTGTTCGTGTCCTTTGCCCATTTTTAATGGAGTTATTTGTGTTCTGTTTGAATTAACATTCTTACAGATTCTTGATATTAGATCTTTGACAGATGCATAGTTTATGAATATTTTTCCCATTCTGTAGGTTTTCTGTTTATTCTATTGATAATTTATTTTGCTGTGCAGAAGCTCTTTAGTTTTAGCTGGGTTCCACTTGTCAATTTTTGTTTTTGTTGCAATTGCTTTTGGGGGCTTAGTCATAAATTTGTTGCTAAGGTCAACATCCAGAATGGTATTTCCTAGGTTTGCTTATTGAAACTGGACCTCTTCCTTTCACCATATACAAAAATTAACTGAAGGTAGGTTAAAGACTTAAATGTAAGACCATGTGGGTAGTTTCTAAGTCCAAAAACCAGGAGTGCCTGTTGGATGCTCCTTTCAGGCTAGTGGGAGGAGTTTTCAGGTCACAGTGTCTGAGCTCCAATTATAGGAACCCTCTTAGCTCAGAGATGCAAACAGGATATTTGTTTGGAGCTGCCCTCTCTGAGAATAAAGAGTGCATGAATGCCCTTCTCTCACTCACCATGGCCACTGGGTTCCTATTATCTTAATTTGGGTGTCTATCAGCCACAGAAAGTCCATCTCATCTGAAGATGTTGGGGTCTTATTTACAGTTTCATTTCACTATTATGTGTCAATTAAAAAAAATAATAAAAGCACAACATTGGATTTGGCAGTGATTTCCTGGACATTACGTTAAATACACAGGCAACTAAAGAAAAAACAGAAAAATTATACTACTGTCCTTAGCCAACAGGTCATCTGAGGCCCTGGAGAAAAACGAGAGAAGGGGAGCCTTAAGTGAAAAAGGCATTCTGGAGCTGACTTTAGAAGGTTGAATCTGCCATTTAAGAATGCAGGGAGGGGGAGCTAATCTGCATATCACCTTGGTGCTTCTAGGTTTTTAAGTAAACTTTCAGGATTCCTATTTACATGACGGCTTTGTAACCTCCAGGGGAAAACAGAGAAGGAAACTTTGAGGTTGAAAGCAAAGATGTGATTTTTGTTTCTTTAGATTTATCAATCCTGGTAGCAATGAAGTTCAGGAAGGAGAAGGCATAGTTCTTACTTAGGGTTAAAAGTGTGGGTTTTGCTGGCAGTCAGCCTTTGGCCCAAGCCTTGGCTCTATTGCTTATTTGTGATGTGTCCTTGGGCAAGTTGCTTAACTTCTCTGAACCCCATTTCTTCATCTGCAAAATGGAGTTAATAAACCAACTCCAGAGACAAGAGTTGGGAAGATTCACCAACATTCTCACCATTGTTAACACTTATACTTCACATTTGCTAGACAATCCTGTGGGGTAGATAGTATTATCATCCCGATTTACAGATGAGGGGCAACCAAGACTCAGAAAGGTGACGTAACTTTCTCGAGGACAAACAACTAGCAAGTAATTGGGTTTAAATTTGATTCCAGGAAATTCGACTCCAATAGCTCCTTAAATTTAATGTTATTTTTAGGCTGGGCACGGTGGCTCACGCCTGTAATCCCAGCACTTTGTGAGGCTGAGGCGGGCGGATCACCTGAGGTTGGGAGTTCGAGACCAGCCTGGCCAATATGGAGAAACCCTGTCTCTACTAAAAAAATACAAAATTAGCCAGGTGTGGTGGCACATGCCTGTAATCCCAGCTACTCATGGGGTTGAGGCAGGAGAATCACTTGAACCTGGGAGGCAGAGGTTGTGGTGAGCCGAGGTCACGCCATTGCACTCCAGCCTGGGCAAAAGGAGCGAAACTCTGTCTCAAAAAAAAAAAAAAAAGCTTTAATGTTATTTTGCCTCTAAGATTAAGTAATGTATATTAAATCCTTAGCACCATGCCTGGGTCACCATAAATGTTGAATTATTGTTAGTGAGGCAGGAAGAATAGGGTCTGGAGACAGGGAGCCATCACTTCAACCTCCAATTGGTCACAGGCTAAGTCTTAATTTGCATAGGGTGTAACTTCACTTCAGCTGCTGATTGGTTGTGAGCCAAGTGTATTAGTTCGTTTTCATGCTACTATGAATAAATACCTGAGACTGGGTAGTTTATAAAGGAAAGAAGTTTAATTGACTCACAGTTCTGCAGGGTTGGGGAGGCCTCAGGAAACTTTCAATCATGGCAGAAGGGGAAGCAAACACATCCTTCACGTGGTGACACCAAGGAGAAGTGCAGAGTGAAGTGGGGTGGGGGAACTCCTTATAAAACTATCAGATCTCATGATAATTCATTCACTATCACAAGAACAGTATGGGGGAAGCTGCCTCCG